CCTCTCACCTTCCTCCATTTCCCCTCCACTGTAAGAGCATTTTCTTTTCTGTTTTTTTTTGTGAGATAATTTACCCCATTCTACCTCTCCCTTTCTTCTTCTCTGAATATAATCCTCTCTCATCCCTTAATTGTATCCTCCAGATATGACCCCTTAATATTCAACTCACCCTTGTGCCCTCTGTCTGTCTGTCTGTCTATCTATCTATCTATCTATCTATATATCTATCTATCTATCTATCTATCTATATATATATATATATATATATATATATATATATATATATATATAAAATTTTTTTCCTCCAAGTACCCTAATACTGACAAAGGTCCCATGAGTTATAAATATCATCTTTCCATGCAGGAATGTAAACAGTTCAACCTTAATAAGTCTCTTATGATTTCTCTTTCCTGTTTACCTCTTCATGTTCCATTTGAAAGCCAAATTTTCTATTTAGCTCTGCTCTTTTCATCAAGAATGCTTGAAAGTCCTCTATTTCACTGAATGACCATTTTTTCCCATGAAGGATTATACTCAGTTTTGCTGGGTAGGTGATTCTTGGTTGTAATCCTATCTCCTTTGCCCTCCGGAATATTATATTCCATGCCCTGCGGTCCTTTAATGTAGAAGCTGCTAAATTTTGTGTTATCCTGATTGTGTTTCCACAGTACTTGAATTGTTTCTTTCTGGCAGCTTGTAATATTTTCTCCTTGACCTGGGAACTCTGGAATTTGGCTACAATATTCCTAGGAGTTTTCCTTTGGGGATCTCTTTCAGGAGGAGATCTGTGGATTCTTTCAATTTCTATTTTGCCCTCTGGTTCTACTATATCAGGGCCGTTTTCCTTGATAATTTTTTGAAAGATGATGTCTAGGCTCTTTTTTTGATCATGGCTTTCAGATAGTCTAATAATTTTTAAATTTTTAATTTAAATTTTTAAAATTTTTAAATTCTCTCTCCTGGATTTATTTTCCAGGTCAGCTGTTTTTCCAGTGAGATATTTCACATTATCTTCTATTTTTTCATTCTTTTGGATTTGTTTTACAGTGTCTTGATTTCTCATAAAGTCACTGTCTTCCAATTGCTCTATCCCTAATTTTTAAGGAAGTATTTTCTTCAGCAATCTTTTGTACTTCCTTTTCCATTTGGCCAAGTTTTCTTTTTAGGGCATTCTTCTCCTCATTGGCTTTTTGGACCTGTTCTGCCATTTGGGTTAGGCTATTTTTTAAGGTGTTATTTTCTTCAGTATTTTTTTGGGTCTCCTTTAGCAAGCTGTTGACTTGTTTTTCGTGATTTTCTTGCATCACTCTCATTTTTCTTCCCAGTTTTTCCTCTACTTCTCTTACTTGCTTCTCAAAATCCCTTTTGATCTCTTCCAAGGCCTGGGACTGATTCATGTTTTTCTTGGAGGCTTTGGATGTAGGAGCTCTGACTTTGTTGTCTTCTTCTGGTTGTATGTTTTGATCTTCTTTGTCACCAAAGTAAGATAATATAGTCTGACTCTTTTTGAGCTGTTTGCTCATGATGCCGGCCAATTACTTGAGTTTTAAACTCTTTGTTAAGGTAAGAGTCTGCTTCCAATGTGGAGAATGTAGTGTCCCAAACTTTGGGGGTTTGTACAGCTGTTTTCAGAGATACTTGTAGGGACCTGCAAATTTTCAGTTCTTGCAAGGTGGTATCATAAGGGGCAAGGTGTTTACTCCTTTACTAGCCTGTGCTGTGGTCTGTTAGTGACCACAAGCACTGCTTTCTGTCCTGGAACTGTGAGGAAGGTTTCCTGTTCACAGCCACTACAAGCTCCACCATGCCAGTGCTCCTCCTCGCCTCAGAATCCCCGTTCAGAATTGTGACCCAGATCCAAGCACGGGCAAAGCAAGAGATTGCTGCCTCAGCACCAGCAGAGAGATCTCTGCAATCCCCCTCTGATCAGCCACTTGATTCCCCCTCAGTCTGTGGGCCGGATGCTTGGGAAGCAGCTGCCCACCCCAGGGCCATATTCTCAGGGAATGGAGCTGAGACCCCATCTTCCTCTCTCAGCACCGCAGAAACAGACTTTTCCCACTTCTAAGTTTTTCTTTGGCATTCGTGGATTGAGGAGTCTGGAAGTCACCACAGCTACCCGTGATTCAGTTCTCTGAGTCCTGCTCCAGGTTCGCTGCGGCCTGCGTGCCCACACCGCACTGTGCTCCACTTCCAGCCCAGCACGAAACACCTTTCTGATCGATCATCCAGGTTGTCTTGGGCTGGAAATTTGTTTCACTCTGTCTTTTTGTGGGTTCTGCTGCCTTAGAATGTGTTATCCTCATCTCACCCATCCAGTCACCCCATTCAACACTACCATAACTATCATTCAAGTCCCTACTACCTCTTTCCTGGATTGTTGTAAAGGAATCCTGTGTTCTCCCTTTCCTTCCATCATCTCTTTTCTTCCTCACAGCTGTTGAAGTAATTTTTCTGATGCATAGACAGTGGCTCCTTACCAACTCCAGGACAAAATAACAATAGCTGATATTTATAATAATGCTTTATGATTTTACAAACTACTTTACATACACATCTTGTCTGGTATAAATTCTTTACTCTATTAATTAAGGAATCGATTTCAAGCTGATCCTTCCAGTATTAGTTCATATTGTTCTTCAAAACCTCTATTCCTGCTAAGCTGGAATATTAGCTACTCTCCCATAACATCCTGATGTCTTTTTACTCCTCTGTGTATTTTATATTCTAAGGAGCTATTTCCATGGTTAAAACACATTCCCTCCACCTGTTAAAATCTTTTTCTTCCTCGAAAGGCCCATTGAAGTAACAACTTTCCCATGTTTATTTAGTTGTGTCTGACTCTTCATGATCCCATTTGGGATTTTCTTGGCAAAGATACTGGTGTGGTTTGCCATTTTCTTCTCCAGCTTATTTTACAGCTAAGGAAACTGAGGCACCTTTCCCAAGAAACTTTTTATAACATCCCAGATGAATGTTCTTATTCAAATTATCTTAGAGTACTTGAGTGGAAACTTCTTTGTCCTTGTCATATCTTAACATTGTATCATACTAATCTATTTATGTGCCTCATCCTACCTCATTCCCATTAGACTGTAAGCTCCTTGAGGGCAAGCACTTGGGTTTTTTTTTTAATCTTTATGTGTACTGGGTCCAGCACAGTGTTTTGTGTGTAGTAAGCACTTATTAAATATTTATTGAATCAAATGAATATATTATTCCATTTTATACTGCCATAAAACTCTTAGTATTTAAGTACTAAATAATAAATTATTTCACTGAACAATTGAACATAAATTAATTTATATTTACTATACATCTACTTCAGTTTGGCATGATCAAAGAAACAGTTATGAGATGTTCTACTTTTATTGAAGTGTAAGGGGGTCTTTTTGCAGCTTAATCTTATTTGCAACATCTGAATAGCATGGTAGATCTTGTGCTAGACCAGAGACAGGAATACTTGGATTCAGATCATGCTTCAGACATTTACTATCCATTTGTCATCATTATTCTTTCTCAACCTCAGTTTCTTTATCTGTAAAATAGTGCTATTTACCTAATTCACCAAGTGGTTATGGTTGTATCCTTCCTCAGTCCTTATTAATATTTGTGGTTCAAAGGACTGGCTTTTCCCCCCAAATATGAAGCTAACTCTGCAAGATATTTCTACTATCAAATCAGTTCTTCCTTTTATTTACTAACAAGGAATGATCTGTGTCAGTAGAACTTCTAACATTACTGTTGTGCAAAGACAAATTTAGATTTCAATGAGCCAAATCACCAGTTTTGCATGAATTGATTATAATGGAACTTTCACATAAAAGTTATTCCAATATTTAAAACTGGCATTTCTACATTGGAATCCAAAATCTTTTATACTAAAAACAAAGCAAATTTCTTTTCATGTCTATTGTAGTGGGGGAGGGGGAAGTTTGGAAGAGATCTGTTGATGTGTGGGGGAGAAAAAAAAGGTGAAATTGGTTTTAATATTCAAGAAAAGAAGTAGAAGAGAAAAAAGAAAAAGGAGCAAAGAACAGTGGGAGACTAGAGGATACTGAGTTCAGTTTAGAGATTTGTTGTTCGGATTGAGAACATATGTTGTGGCTTCCTTGTTAAATTTCACAGGGAAGAAATGTTTTCCTAAAATACCCTGTAATTCTCAGTCAGTTTAGTGTATCACATTCTAGCCTGAATAGTTTTAACGTGGTTGTATCCAGTCTTTCTACTTAGAAGCTGTAAAGCCTTTTTATCACACATTTTCTTTTTTCACTGTATCTGAATTTACTAAACACAGACTTGGGCTGTGGGCAGCCCAAGGCTGCCTTCTCCCTGCGAGGGAGGGCCAGGTGAGAGTGAATTTTCCTCAGGAGAGGAAGCAAAGAGAGAGAGACAGAAAGACGACAGGGCAGAGACACAGATACAGGGCTGGAGAGAGAGAAATAGAGGTAGAGACAGAGACACCTGTGGTCTGACTCATAGCAATTCCTTAGCTAGGTTCTTCCTCAGCTTTTCCTGGAGACAGAGACTGGTTACAGAGACAGAAAGATAAGCTCGATTTCTTCCACCTACGGACTCCTTTGCTAATGGTGTGGTGGTGTGGTGGCGGTGGTGGTGCGCGCGCGCATATGTGTTGTTGGAGGCAAGGATTAGAAATGAGACAACTGTACACACACAGAGCACAGTGTGCACAGAGTGTGAGCTTCCGAGGTCGAGGTCAATTAATTTCACTGCAGCCCGATACTCCAGACTAAATCGCCGTGAGCCAGTAGCAGTGGGGGCGCGGTACAGCAGGTGCATGTTGCGGTGACCGGTGGGGGTCTCCTCGCCCCCGCTCCGCCTCTGTCCAGTCTCCGTGTTGGTGCGCAGCCCAAACTCCTCTGCCTGCTGTGGAGGCGCAGCGCTGGCTCCCCGCCCCTTCTCTCTCTCCGCCGCTCCCTCCTCCCCCACCCTACCCCCCTTTCTGACCGCTGGAGATACTGGCAAGGGTAGCGAATGACTTGATCTGAACGTAGCCCAGAATCCGCTGAGTAGAAGGCATGGGTCTTGCACCGAGAGGGCGGCGACTGGAGGTAGAGGGCGGGTGAGAAATTTTCCTTCATCCCTCAGTCTGTGCTCCCAGGGTACGCGGAGGCAAGATCGTCTCAGTTGCTCAGCCCCAAGCGGGGATTTTTTCAGGCACGGTGGGCCAAGGAAGAACGGCCAGTGGAGGTGGCCACCTCCAAGGTGGCAGCAGCGCCCGGCGGCAGCAGCAGGTGGCTTCCCCTGGAACTCAGCGTTAGGAGTCCTTGGGGCCTCATGCACACAGGCTGCCCGGCTGCGGTGCGCTAAGACGCACAGCTGAGAGAGCGGCGAGCCTCCCTGCTGTCACACGGGCTGGACACTGATGGACCCCGGGGTCATCGGGCGGAGCCTCCGGGCGCCTCCGCCACCGGCACCGCCTCCGCTGCTGCTGCTGCCCGCTGCCGCTGCTTCTATTGCTGCTGCTGCAGGTGGCCGGCCCAGCCTCTGCCTTCTCGGAAAACCTGCTCACCGCCCCGGGGGTGATGGGGACCAGTGCGGTCCCCGCCGGCCCCGGGAGCGTGGTGGCTCCGGGAACGACCCCCTTCGAGGAGAGCCGGCTACCAGTGTTTACCCTGGATTATCCCCATGTGCAGATTCCCTTCGAGATTACCCTCTGGATACTGCTGGCTTCCTTGGCCAAGATCGGTGAGTGACTTGGTCCCCCTGGTGGGGATCGTTGGAGAAAGGCTGGATAGCCAGGTTGGGGAATGGAGGGGGAATGCGGAAGAGGACACTAATCGAGTGGCTGGGAGTCAGGGGTGCTGCGCGAAGGTGTGTGGGTGGAAGAGGCTGCTCCTATCTCCCCTTAAAGTAACTGTAACAGATATGGGAGCCTCATTGTGTGAGAAAGGAACATAAAGCCAGAGCAGTTTTTTTTTTAAACTTTGGTATTACGTGCAAGAGTGGAGGCAGATAAAGACAAAATCGTATAAAATATAGGTCATTAGTTAATTCTGTCTTGAAAACAAACAAACAAAAAACAAAAAAGATCTGAAAGTAAAGCTGACTCAAAAACATGTAGCTGTTTCTTTGAAGGTCGAATAAGTGGGCTGCATTTTATCAGTGTTACTTGAAGGAAAAGCACTTGAGTTAAATTTTTTAAACCTGATGGCCTGAGAAGAGGTAACATGGTACCTGCTGTGGGCGATTAATGAAATGCATGGAAAGGTACCAGTGACACAGAAACTGTGCAAATGAAAATGAACTCTTACTCCCTCTTCTCTGAAGCCAACACTTCATTAGGGCGCTTTCAGAGAGGTGATCCGAGGAAGCTGCACTTATTTTAGCTTTTACTAACCTGGGCAATAAACCTTTAAGTCTCCTTAGGAAGGAGTGACTACAGAATTTTGTCACCATCATTTAAAAAAATGTCTAATAATTTGTTGAATACATAATCATTTTACTTTCAATTATGCCTTTTAATTTTGCTTTAACTGATATAAGATAAATTGGCAAATATTATTTCCAGTATAGTGAAGTGGAAAGAATACTGATTTGAGAGCAGAACTTAAAAGCCCCAGTTCTGACAGGTAGCCAGTATGACCCTGGGTAAGTAATTTAACCTCAGTCATCAGTAATATGGGGGGAAATTATAACACCTGTGCTTCCTACTTTATAGGATTATTATGAGGGCAGTGGATAAGGCACGGAAATTGGATTCAGGAAGACCTCTCTTCAAATCCCATGTCAGATGGTTATCAGTTCTGTAAACTTCTACAGGTCAATTAACCTCCTGGGGCCTCAGTTTCCTCATCAGAAAAATGAGAGGGGTTTGATTCAGTCTCTTAACAACTCTGATTTTAAGATAAGTAAATCTTCCAGTACTATACAAATGAGGTCTTATTATAGTGTTATATCCAGAACTTTGGGCTGAAACCTTGATTCTGACCTTGGTTACCTGTGTGACTTTAGACAGTTAGGTGAGTTAACTTCTCTTGACCTTCTCTTCCTCATTTGTGAAGTGAAAAGGTTGGACTAGGAGAAGGCCTGTGAGTATCTTTTCTAGATACATAAATCTATCATTGTTTTCTGTTGGGATAAGAGGAAACTGAAAGAGTTTCAGAAGAGAGGCCATTAGTGGAGAGATATATCACTGTGGTAAGTTATTGGTTGTGTGGTAGTATTGTTACTAGTTGACTGCTTTTTAATTCTTTGGAAAATACTACATGATAGACTAAATACTTCCCCCACTTGCCAAATATATACATTATTAGAAATTATGTGAATGTGTGTAGGCTTAAGGAGCACCAGTCTCTATACACCTGCCATTTCTTATTTGTCCCTCTGCCTTTTCTGGCTTGGGTTCTCCTTATTCCAGTGTTTCCATTACTTCTTGTTTATATTTCCATCTTGAACCTTTCCCTATATTTTCTGAGGTTTTTCTTAGTTCTCTATTTATCCCAACCTTCTTCAAGCCTTTTTGCTCTGTGACCTAGCTCCTTGGGCTTGCCTGATATTTTTTTCCCTCTTGGATTTTACTTTCTTGGTATTTTCTCTTTTGTTATGTATCTTGTTTATTAAAATAGGCAATAGTAACAGTGTTGATTTCATCTGAGAAAAAATGTCCCAGTGTGGAGACTTCCTTCACTTATACAAATCAGCAACTCATCGTTAATATTCAATCTTAGAGATTTCCCTGAAGCAATGAGAGATTAAGTAACATGCCTAGGGTCATCAAGGTAGTTATGTCAGAAGTAGGGGTCATCCTGATTTCTGTGAGCCCAACTACATGGAGATGCTTCTTGTTTTTTTTAAGTACTTTGCTAATATTTGTATTAGTGCACGTCACTATATCTTTCATTTTTTTTCTTTCCCAAGTTATATATTTGTTGTACCACCAGTTTCCCATATCTGACTTGCCTTAAATTTGTAACTCATTTCGTTCCTCCTCTCTACCCCTGAATCTTAAAAGAAAATTGGCCACAGGGGATATTCAGTCCTCTCAAAGGAGTTCTTGGCAGCTGAGTTGGGACTTGTCAGGGAGTTGAGTGAGGGGCCTTGAGCTCCAGGAACAGAGGGTAATTCTGAAGGCAGAGAGGCAGAATCTCTCAGGTATCTCTCCCTGTCCTGCCTAACAATAGCCAAGTCCACTTCTGCTACAGCTCTGCCCAGAGCTGAGCCCCTGACGTCATGGAGATGCCCTCAGTGGAATACAGAACATTTCTGAACTTTCTGAATGGTTTTAAGCAGGACCACCCTAGCACTGTGGGATGTCTCTGCTACCCACTCAAATCATTCACCCAGTCATTTAGAGTCTATGTTTAGGTTCTCATGATGACTGGACAAGCTGTTATTTCTAGAGTTGAACCAGATACAGCCTAATTCTCCCATATTTTGAAGGTTTTGTAAGTTCAACTATTGAGGGTGGCTTGGTGCTAGGAGGGTAGCTTGACTCTTTAGATTCATACAGTTCACTACTCACTCTCCTGATGTCATTGGTCTTCTTGTAGAACCAAGGATGAACAGCAACTATAAATCACTAGTACATGCTTAATCTCTTTTTTATGTTAAAGTGATTTAGGGGCAAAATACCAGGTTCAAATGCCAATTCTATCTCCTACTAGAGTGAAATGTTGGACAAGTCAATTAACTTCTCTTAGTCACAGTTTCCTTAGCTGTAAATAGGGGCAAAAGTACTTGAATTGACTTGAAGTAACTAGATGGCACAGCAGCTAGAGTGCTGGCCCCATAATTAGGAAGACCTGAGTTCAAATCCAGACTCAGAAATTTACAAGCTGTGTGACTTCATTTAAGCTCTGATTGCCCCAGTTTCCCTAAGTACAAAATGGGGATAATAACAGCATCTCCATCTGAGGGTTGTTGTGAAATTGAATGAGATAATATTTGTAAAGCACTTAGATCAGTTGTATCAGTCCAACTCTTTATGATCCCATTTGGGGATTTCTTGGCAAAGATACTGTAGTGATCTGCTGTTTCCTTCTCCAGCTCAGTTTACAGATGAGGAAACTGAGGCAAACAGAGTTAAGTAATTTACGCAGGATCAACACAACTAGTAAGTGTCCAAGGCCAGATATGAATTCAGGAAGATGGGTCTTCTTGATTCCAGTCTGGGTGCTCTATCCACTGCGCCACCTATCTGCAATATCTCAGAGTTGTAAAATTGTAAAGAGAGTGTTTTGGATACCTTTGTCATATGTGATGTGATGTGCTGGAACTTAAATGTCCTTTGAAAACATGAGAGAACTGAAGTATTAATAGGTGACGTGTTGAAAACTGTGTCTGTTATGGAGCTCATTTGTCCAAAGAAAGGCAGTATGATACTGCAGAAAGAATATTAGCTCTAGAGTTGAACACCTGAGTTCAAATGTACCTCTGATGTTTATTATCTATCTGACCTTGGACAAGGCATTGAACCTTCTTAGACCATGTTTTCCTCATTTCTAAAATGAGGGGCGTATTGGAGTGGGGTGGGAATTCCCTTCTCGTTATAGTTCAGTGATCCTGTGGTAAGAGAATGACTTCAAAGCCCAAACGTGTTTTTTTGTTAAGTTTGAATAATGCCTTCTGTCAGTATTCTGAAGTTCAACTCAGCATACTATTTGAAAGATCACTATTCATGCCTTCCTAAGACAGTGGAGTATATTTCTGGGGGGGAAATGGAATGGTACATCTTTATTTTGAGTTGTTTTGTCTTCTGGCAAAATATATTTCCTATTTAAGAATACATTGAATAGTCGATAGAGTACTGGACTTGGAGTCCTGAGGACTAGATTCAAATGCTGCCTCAGACATGTGTGATCTCTGGCAGGTCATTAATATATTTGGACCTCAATTTCCTCCTTTGCAAAATAAAAGACTTCTAAGGCTCCTTTCAGCTTTAAATCTGTGATCCTGTGTGGATTGAAAAAGCTTGAATATAAGCATCATCTGTAGTTTTCATATAAAAATGACACCAATTTTCCTTGTAAACACTATGCAGAATTAAACTTTGCACTTACAAGGTCAGTGATAATGGATTTAGAAATCTCTGAAAATTTTAAAAAATCTTTGCCAGGAAAGAAATCTCATTTTGTTAATTTAATCTATTAACTCATCTTCCCTTCTAAATATTTTTTAATGTGGTGGTGCTACTGCTTCGATGATTCACTAGATCTGAGATTTTATTGGTATAGGTAATTCCTGTTAAGAAAATTCTCCCTTCTGTTAGATCAGCATCTACTCTCTAACTTTCACCTCGGAGGGTACTTAGATGTTGAATGCCTTTTCCAAGCTCACACATCCAAGATATATTAATACAAACACTTGAACTCGTATCTTCTTGACTCTAAGGGCAGCCTGCTATCCACTCTGAAGCAGGCTGCCTTTTTACTTCTCATTTTAGTTTACATCACTCTTAATTATTAGAGTTAAAATTGTTTAAGCATACAGTTTTCTTTGGAGACGTTATGCAAGAGTTTTCTGTATTATAACTGCTTTGAGTTAGATAATTTGAACTTTTGTTTGTAAAGTGTAGGCTGATTTCTCTCCTAGAAGAGGGATACTTTATTCAAACTGGATTAAAATTGAACACTTCATTTAAAAGAAAACAGTATCAATACAGTGTGTGTGGAAGGGGGTGGAGGTGGGGTAATATTGTGTATGAAAGAGATATACTTGCATGAGGTAATCCAAGAACTAGGATGGGG